GTGTGTGTGGACTCCCTCAGAGCCAGGTCTGCTCTGTGTCTCTTTACCTCTGTGGTGATTCTTATTACATAATAGCAGTGAGGAGCTCTATTTTTCCAAAAAATTAATGAACTCATCTCTTAGGTCAGTTGGAAATTCTGGTGTTTGTGTATTCACCGGCATCAGCCTCTCTTCCCTTTTTATTTTTTCTTTGATTTTGGTCTCAGAGAATGACCAGTAAATCCTGTGCTTTATCTAAGGCCCAAGGTCAAGAGAAAACACCACACACTTGCCTTATTGGTAAAATGAAATTGGGCCTTATTAAAACCTAGTGCTAAGTAGAAAAATAGAAGTGAATCATGGGAGGAAAGATCGCAGACAGACCAGAGCAGGCCCAGTTGTCCTGTAGACACCCTCAGGGCCTGGCTTTAACCTTTTTTCCTGTTTACCACACTTCCTGTCATGGGAGATACTGCCCACGGCTTTACACATGTGGAGGATTGTGTACTGATCTACAGACCCAGCCCACTCCGCGTCGTCGGTCTTCTCTCACTCACCCTTTCTTTCCCCTGGAGTTCAGAGGCAGACTGGATGTCATCGTGGTACCTCGAGCAGCTCACGCGGGTCATTCCCAGAGACACGCATTGAGTCCTGCTGTCCTCGTGTTCGGCAGGACACTCCCTGGGCCTGTGCTGTGGGGCCGCTAGGGTTAGATGCACTCTGTCCTCAGATAGGTGAGATCAGGCATTGTCTCACTTCAGCATGGCGTGGTTTCCAGCTGGACTTGGACTGCAGAAGGAGGGCTACGCGCGAGGGTTTCGCAGAACTGCGTTTCTCTCTGCCGAGCGTGGAGAGTCATTGTGCAGCATAGGATGGCGGTTACCTACGGGGAAGGGCAGTGCCCCGGGACGAAGTGCAGACCCAGTGAAGACAGATATGGTAGACCTGAAAGTGTTAGGGACAAAAGAGTAAAATGGAATCCAGGCCCTTCAATGATGTCACAGACGTGAAAACCGTGCCCTGCGAAGGAGGGGTGGCCTGGGAGCCGAGCTGGCTGAAGTGCTTCCAGTTTGGCCAGAAGCCTGAAAAGCAGTTTGATAGTTCATTTCCAGAGGATCAGAAATTGTTTATATAAAGTCTTTTTCATCTATCAAATCCATATAATGAAAACGAACCAAATACTTCCGCCAGGCTTCACTCTTGAGAGGATATGGTGTAAGCGCAGCCGCCAGCCCCGGCAGGGAAGATGACTTCTCGAAAGGCCCACACCAGAGATGACTTCGGTTAGAATCCAGGCGCAGAGTGTGCACAGTGTAGGAGCTTGGAGAACTCTCACCTCACCGTTCTGGCTGACCAGGGTGCACAGGGCAGGAGGCTGAGTGGAGGTCAAGGCCCCGCTTTCGGGCTGGGCAAGTGCCCAGGATCCTGGAGGACGTGGCTTCAGCCAGGGGCCCCGGCGAGTCCTATTGTTCCACTCTGTCCTTTAGCGTTGTGGAGACAGGCTGCAGGGACCAGGGGCAGGGACTGAGACGGGGACAGAACAGACAGCCCAGGACAGTTCGGGGGCTCAGGACAGAGGAACGCAGTACTGCTGTTGCCAGAGCCCAGGTCCCTTCCCGAGCCACTTTCCTCTGGACACGTGGTGAGCACGAAGCCCTGCCTGCCTGGCTCCTGGGCAGAGGCGCTACGCTGCCTGGGCTCTGCTGTGTCCCTGTGCTCGCTGTGGCCTCCCCCGGGCGTGGGCCAGGCCAGTGGGTGCTGCCTTGGCTAAGGCAGTGATACTGGGAGTGGTGTCTGCATGGCTGCTCTCCCTGGTCAGATGCATGGTGCGCACAGAGGCCTGGACTGGAGGCGGGAGCTGGAGCAGTGGGGCCGACGGGGGCTGCCCACGCCCTCATCCCTCCTAGATTCTGCTTCTGGCTTTTGGTGGCCCCAGGACCTAAATCTGCTCTTGGAGGTTGTCTGCCAGGCAGTCAGCGGTGTGTGTGGGGTGCGGAGGGACGTCTGAACTAGGTGGACTTGAAGGCTGAGGTTTTCAAAAAAGCCACGAATGTTGGAAACACTGGGATAACCTTGTTCGGGCCAGAGCAGTGCAGTGATGGGTGAGGAGCTGGACTGGCACGGTCCCGCCCAGTCTGAGGAGGAAGCAGCTGCTGCTGCCCAGCTTCTCCTGTCATTGCTCGTTAGGCAGCCATGTCTTCAAGGGTAGAACCTCCAGAGCGTCGGGGGGGAACCGTGTTTTAAGAAAGAATGTTCCTTAGGTTATTCACTGAAGTTTGAACCTCTGGTTTGTAGTTTTAAGCTGGGCATGGTGGCATTTGTCTGTAATTTCAGCACTCAAGGAGGCTGAGGTAGGAGGATCTCAAGTCCATGCCCAGCCCGGGCAACTTAGCCAGACTGTATCAAAATTTAAAAAAATTAAAAAGGGGCTGGATATGAAGCTCAGCGTGAAGGCTCTGGAACCAAAAAAAGTTTTTTTGAGTTTTTCTAGGGTGATTTGTCCTTATTATCTGCTTCTGTACGCAGATAATACGGTGTTAGGAAGAGAGCTGGGAACGGCGTGAAAACAGCGCTTGCTTTGGACTGAAAATATTTCTGTTACCTCCTTGAAAATGAGTACGCAGTAGGTCATGGTAGCATTTTTGAAAAAACATAAAACTGGTTTTTCCTCATGTTGCTTTTGTCTCAGGTATCCACGGGGAAGGGTCTACCTTCAGCACGTTGTGCGGCCTCCTCCTGTGGGATGTGATCTTCATGGACGGGGTCCCAGATGTCTTCAGGAACGCCTACCAGGTCACGCAGAGTCCCTGCACTACAGGAGCCCTCTGCACATGCGCCTCAGCAGCAGAGGCCGGCTCCCGCCGCAGTCCTGAGGGTCACCCACAGCTCGTGGCGCTAATTCCATGGAAAGAATACCTTTTATGTCTAAAATCGGATTAGTGGAATTTGAAACACACATATGTTAAATTTTAAAATTTTTCTAGTTTACCTTCAACGGTACATTTTAAACATTCACCATGGAGTCCCTTCGACTGCAGCCTTTACTGAGCACCTGTTGTGAGCCAGGCACCAGCCCAAGGGCTGTCACATGCAGTCACAAGGGCTGGCTGAGAGCTCTGCTGAGGTAATGTGAAGCTCCCTTTGCAAACTATCACTCTTTAGCAATGCAGAATAATAAGTTGCATGTATGTCACATTACATACACGAGACTAACTTTATATAGCTTTCAAGAGAGGAATGCATTAGGGATTGGCCATTTTCCAGATGCAGAGGTGGAGAGTGTTCCCCTCTGAGTCTGCGCTCTCCAGGCGCGCTCTGAAAGCTTGCTTTCCTGTGACACAGGCGTCCCCGCTGGACTTGTGCACGGACAGCTTCTTCACTAGCAGGAGGCCGGTGCTTGAGGCCAGGTTGCAGCTGATTCACAGTGCCTCTGCAGAGAGCCTGCAGGCCTGGGTGGCCACCACGTGGCAGGTCCAGGAGGGCCGGGTGTCTTCCCTCATCAGCTGGGATCTCTTCGCCTCTCTTCAGCAAGCTCAGGTGACACAGTTCATTTGCATGGCAAGATCTGGGTAGAAAGTAATCGCTCCTGGTGTTGGGTGTCTTCGGCGACTGTGTCAGAATACACAGGTGTAGGGGTGTGTGTGTGTGTGTGGTGTGTGTGTGTGTGTGTGTGTACGTGTTGATGCGTATGTGTATATGATACCCCATCCCCTGGCCGTATGTCACTGTGACAGAAACATGTCAGCATTTAAAAAGGCCCCACAGTGACGCCTTTTCCACCTGATTTGATGACTCTTGTGTGGCCTGTGGCTTCCCAAGAGAGGACACCTCTATCCCTGTGTCCCTACAAATGCCATTGTCTATGAATCTTGTCAGATTCTGCCTTCGTCACGTTCCCCAGAACGTCCCCGCGGGGCAGAATCCCGATAACTGATAAGGAGAACTGGTGTCCCATCACTTGCCAGTGGGGATGTGAGCCAGTGGCTCGGGAACCGCAGATGCGCAGAACAGCCTCTGGTGCACTGCTGGACTCTTCCGCTGCATGCGACAAGAGCTGTCCTCGGCCTCACGGCCCCTGCGGCCCGTCTCGGGTCCCCGGTCAGGGAGGCGGCTAACTCCGGGTGCGTTTTGTGTTCAGGATCTTGTTTCCTGCTTGGGGGGTCCCATCCTCAGTGGTGTGTGCAGGCGCCTGGTTGCTGACTTCCGACACTGCCGAGCGGGCCTCCCTGACCTGGTGGTGTGGAACTCTCAGAGCCGTCATGTCAAGGTCAGTGGACCCGGCATGGAAAGTCATAGTTGTATTGGCAGTGGGGCCAGGGGCCGCACTGGGCATTTCATGCATCACTGTTGGCCATATTGGATCCCTGGAGAGCCCCGAGGCTGGGGCTGGAGTTTCCAGGGGCCTGCTCATGGCCAAGCACCGGGAGCGGCTGGTTCCTCGGGAGCAGCTGAGTGACGGGAGCCAGTGTGTGAGCAAGACAGAAGGCATGGTCTCCTGTGACTTCACTGTGGAAGTGACTGTCCGTCTCTTGTCGGAGTAAGGCACAGGTGCAGGCCGCTCAGGAGGATCACATGGGGCAGGGGCGCAAGGAGAATTTAGAGACGCCCTGAGAGCGCACTGGCCGTTGCCTTGGGGTACGTCACTCAGCCCACCCAGTACCCACCCGTTGCCCTTCATTGGTGGGTTTTATTATTGAGGTTTGAGATGTAAATAAACACATGAATGTACTTATTGCTTCTATTTCTTCCCAATCTGTGGCTTCTCTTTTCACTTTTTAAAATAGTGTCTTTTGAAGAGCAGAAATTTTAAATTTTGACAGAGTTCAACTTCTGTAACTTATTTGTTCCTTAATGGATTATGCTTTTGGTATCAGACACCAGAAGTACTCAACCAGGCAACTTAGTGACAGTCTCAAAATAAGAAATAAAAAAGAATGGGGGTTGTAGCTCAGTGCAGAGGTCCTGGGTTCAGTCCCTAGTACTGCAAACAAACAAAACTAAATAAACAACAACAGCAAAAATAAAACCCAACCAAAAAAAAAAACCAATTTGCCTAATATCAAGTCATAAAGAGTTCTCAAGTCATAAAGAGTTCCTGATTTCCTCTAGAAGTTGTACAGTTCTAGATTTCATGTTTAGTACTTGCGATCCATGTTGAAGTACTTTTTGTACATAGCGTGTGGTATGGATGAACTGTTTTTGCATGTGGAAATCCAGTTCAAGCACGTGCTGCAAAGGCTGTTTTCTTCACTGAATTGCCTTTGCATATTTGTCAAAACCCTGCATTTGTGCAGATTGTCGTCTTTGCACTGATTTGTTTGTGTACTGACTTACTACTTCTAGGAGCTTCTCTCTCGTGTGTGTGTTTCACTGGGTTTTCTGCATTGGCAGTCGGATTCTCTGCCCGTCCTTTCCAGTCTGGATGCGTTTCTGTTCTTGGCCTGACCGCACTGGCTAGCGCCTCCAGGAGGGTGAACGCTAAGTGTTGGGGCCGGGCATCCGCACTTGCTCCTCACCTTGGGGAAAGCTCTTTTCAGTCTCATCATTGAGTTTCCTGTTGGATGCAGGTGATTTGTAGGTACCTTTTGTCAGATTAAGGAATTTCTCTTCATTTCCAAGTTTTCTGAGAGTTTTTAAAAATAAAAAATTGATACTAAATTTTTTCAAATGCTTTTAAAAACAATCTCTTGCCATTATGTGATTTTTTTTTTCCTTTTAACATTTGAGTTTACATTGATTGGTTTTTGAATATTTTTAAAAATGTCATTAAATATTCTAAAGAAACAGTGAAGGCAGTGTTTACTTATGTGGTTGCACATATTACGTCATTAGCACTTGTGTGACTTGGAGATAAGAGTGTCAGCAATCTTAGGAAGAGCTCGTCCTCGACCTGGGACACACAGCAGGCACCACTGCTGTCACTGCAGTCAGGAGTTCCCAAGCTGGCCTCCCGACAGCAGCATCGGAACTACCCAGGGAAGTTTAATCCAAAGGAAACTAGAGATACCTGTGCCCAGGTCCCAAATTATGATTCAGGAAGTCTGAGTGAGTTCCTAAGAATATTCTTCCATAGCTCCTGGGGTGGTCTACTTTGTAGGTCGTCAGGCTGTGAGCAGCTAAGGCAGAGCGCAGTCACGTGTTTGGATGGATCTGGGTGGCTGAGGGTAGTAAAGCAATCATGGTAGAACACGTGGACCTTGAAATTACCCATGTGGTGATCGGTGCCAAGGTTTGTAATATCCTTTCTCCAGTGTGGGCATGGCATGAGCTGTTGGCTTTCCCCCAGTCATAGATGGCCTTGTTCTCTGCAAGTTCTGTCTGCCTGTCACTTTAGCCAGTCCCCAAGGCAGACAGTGCCTCTGGCCCCGAAATCTGGTAAGGAGCCAAAGAATTTCCCACCTCACCACTCACCTAGATGAGATTCTTGGCTGTTCTTGCACAATAAAACTCCAGAGCTAAATACTGAGTCAGAGTCCACTGGCTTTGCATTTGTTGATTTGCATTTTTACTATCTTCCCTGTAGAAAGTGAACTTTCTCTGGCTAGTGAGTGTGACTTTGGAAAATAAGCTTCATTCCGCTGTTTCTTTTAAGGGCATTCAGTCATTTCCCCCTCTGGTGCCTAGAATGATGTGGACTTACTGTGTACCCTTCAGTCTTTTCAAAGCTTTGCAGCCCCTCCGGGCCATGTGGCTCGTCTTCCAGGTGATTTCACAGCACTGCTGCCTGGCACTGCCCGGAGGGTGGGACCCGGGAAAGGGCTTGGCTGTTCAGTCCTGTTTTGCTTTTCTTTCTCAGTGCTGAGGAACTAACCAGGACCTCCCATGTCGTAGATGAGCACTCTACCTCCTGACTTTCAAATCTTAAACCTACCTTGCATTTTGTACATAAACCTTACTTGGTTGTCGGATGTATTTGCCTTGTCATATAGTGTTTTTCCTTTGGGAAAAGTTTAAAACTAAAAAAATTTTCATCAATATAAGACTGTTCTGTTTCTTCTTGGTGTTTTTTATGTTTCTTCTTGACTAAGCTTTGTGAGTTTGTATCTTTTTGAGGAATTTGTCCATTTTAAGCACGTTCTTGAATTTATTGGCATAAAATATTTCTTCCTTTTATTGCCACTTTAATATCTGTGGTATTCTTATTGCTGATACTGGTAATCTATCTTTCATTTTCCATGGCCAGTCTGGTGGGAGGTCTTTACCCTAGTCTCACAAACTTGGTATGTTGTTTTCATTTTTATTCAGTTCAGTGTACTTTTGGGGGCTGAGGATTTGACTCAGTGGCAAACAACATTTGCCTCGCATGTGCAAGGTACTGGGTTCAATCCCCAGCCCTGCCTCCTCTCCAGAAAAAGTTCACAACTTTCTAACTTCCTTTTGAACTTATTTACAAGTGAGTCATTTAGTTTCCAAACACCTGTTCTAGTATAATTTGGCTGATTTGTAATTTAATTCTGTTGAAATTAGAGGACATACTTTACATAACTTGAATCGTATTATATTGAGCCTTTTTTATATTCCAGAATATGGTTTGCTTTGGTTAATGTTGAGTCTTGAAAAAAAAAATGTTTGGGTTTTACTGGAAGAAGTATTTTAAAATGTCAGTTAGGTCATTTGGTTTGTAGTACTTTATGTCCTTACTGTTACTTATTGACTTGTTTTATAAACTCTTGAGAAAGACATCGACATCTCTGACTACAGACACAGACCTGTTTACTTCTTGTGTCTCTATCAATATTTGCTTCATGCATTTTGAAGCTCTGCTATTAAACATGCATGAAGCTTTTCATGCATCAAGCTTTTCAACCTTTTATTATAGAAGTCCTCTTTCTTCCTGATAATATCTTTGTTCTGAAATTAACTTTGATATTAATATAGAACCTAGCTTTCTTTTCATCAGTGTTAGTTAACATGACACATCTTTTTCTGTTTTTTCCTTTTATCCTATTTTGTCTTTATGTGAGTTTCTCATAGGCAGCATATAGTTGGGTCTTACTTTTTCATCCAGTTTAACCTTTACCTTTTTACTGGAGTGCTTGGAACATTTACATTTAATGTTATTAGTGGAATGCTTGCTTTTGAATCTTGATACTTGTTTTTTGTTTATCTCATTTTGTTCCTCCTTATCCTCTGCCTTTTAAAAAGACTGCACTTTAAGTAACTTTTGGCATCTTAGCTGTAACTCTTTGCTATGTTTAAGTGGTTGCATTAGTTATATAATGTATTTTAAACTTAAGGTTTACCTTCAAATGATACAGCCTTTCACATTTAGTATAAATAACTTTTCAACAGTTTACTCTTATCTCTCCCCAGCCTTTGTGTTTTCATACATTTTACTTGTACATATTATAAATTCTGCAACACATTATTTTTACTTTCTGCAGTTAACAAGTCTACAGTGTCAGTATCATTTCTACAGCCTGTTATTTCTTTGTACATACCCAGGTTTCCAAGGGGTCTGTTCTCCTCCTAGAGGAATTTCCTTTAACTTTCCTTGAAGTAGAGGTTTACTGGTCATATTTAGGGTTTGTATATACTTTAAAAGTCTTTGTTTGCATTTGTCTTGAAAAATACTTTCTCTTGGCAAAGAATTCAGTTTTGACAGTTCTTTCTTTCATAATCTAAAATGTTGCTCCACTGTTTGCAGTGACAATCTTCTATTCCTGTGGCTTTAAAAAATTCTGGCTACTTTTAGGATATTCCCTGTAACGCTGATTATAGAGTTTGTATTTCTTAGTGTAGTGTTCTTTATACATTTCTGTGCTTGGGGTTCTGAGTTTCTAGTTTATACAGCTTATATTAGTGTAGTGTTCCTTATACATTTTTGTGCTCAGAGTTCTGGGTTTCTAGTTTTCATCATACAGTTATCTGCAAAATGTGAGGTCAGATTATTTTCTTTCCTCTTTTGGGGACTCTGATTAAGTCTCCATCAGCTTGCCAAATACTGTATTTAAAAACTGTGTTTTCTGTACTTCACCTAGGATTGCTTTTATTGCCATCTTCTAGCTCATCTGTGTGCACTGAACAAAACAAAGTTATTGCCTTTATGAAGCTGATACGTAATAATTTTCTTAATGATTAGTGCCATGAAAGAAATGCATACAAGGATCCTCCTTAGAGATATGGTAGACCTCTGAGATTTTTGTTGTTGTTTTGTTTCCGGTACTAGAAATCAAACTCATGACCTTGCGCTTGCCGGACAGGCGCTGTGGCGCTGAGCTAAATCCCCAGCCCCTCTCTGAGATAAGTTAATGCACAGCCTTAAGAGATAAATCAGGCATGTGAAGAGTGGGTTCCTGGACAGGGATAACAGCATGGGAGGGGCCCTTGGGTAGGAAAGAAAATGATCTGGAAGAGGCCTTTGGAATAATTGGCAGGTGCTGGACCCTATTCCTGTAGAGCATAAATTTAGATTTAATTACAGATGTAAGTAATTGTCAGGTTTTAAGAAAGAGGAACCAGTGCATGGTTTAGAACATTTTTCAGTTGCTATACTAAGCATCAATTTACTAATTCTTTATGAAAAACTGAAAACTAGTCCAGAGACTAGAAAAATTTCTCAAGTGATTTCTCAGCTGCATATATAATATATAAATACAGCGATATAGCAGAGTAGACATTAAAATGGCTGTAGTCTGTGAAAATGACTGTAGCTTATTGACTATTCAGTTTCAGTAAGATACTAATAATTTTTAAAATTTATCTTCCAGCTGGTGGAAGTGAAAGGCCCCAGTGATCGTCTCTCACATAAGCAAATGATCTGGTTGGATGAACTGCAGAAGCTGGGGGCTGAAGTAGAAGTCTGCCATGTGGTTGCAGTTGGAGCCAAGAGCAAAGGCCTGAGCTAAAAGCTGTGGAATTTTCAGTATGTGGTCATATGCTGATAAATGATTTTTAAAAGTATACAGCAGTATTAGATTGTATTTTTGATTTTGTTATTGTCAGTAATAGACCTGATAGGGTGAAGATTCATCACTGCACAGTGTATATGTATTACAAAACTTGGTAGCTGCTTGAATGTACTGGTTGATTCCACATAGTGTATAATAAACTTTTTAAAAAAAAACTTGGTGGCTGTTTTAGGAGCTGAATGTATTTGTGCCATTACATTTGAAAAGGCTGGAAGATAAGGGAGAAATTAAAAACAAGATGATTCACAGCTTTAGGATTTTTATTACAAAAATAGCATAAATAACATTTCTAATAAGGATTCTGGGCACAAAACTTTTTTTATTCTGTTCTGAGGACAGACTCAGTGCCTTGGATGTGCTAGGCTAGCACTCTGCCACTGAGCTACAGACCCACCAGGAGATAAAGATTCTCAAATTGTACTTTTCTGCACTGCTTTACAGATGTAGCCATTAAATACTCTTGCTCTGTGACTTTCCAAGAAACAGTAGAAATTCTGACTTCTTTAGAATTAAAAACCAAAGTCTTGTGAAATAGCTTTTTTTTTTTGCTACCAGGAATTGAACTCAGGACCTTGCACTTGCCAGGCAGGTGCTTGTGGTGCTGAGCTATATCCCAAGCAGAAAGTAGCTTGACTTCTTATGATATCTGTAAGTGCTTACTCTTACCAGTTGGGGCTAGATCACCATAGGCATGGACAGTCTTCACGCTATTAGTTGTCATTTTGCAGCCTTCTCGGAAGCATCCTTTAATAATGAAGTTCGGGGTGTTTTTTTGTATCAGTGGTGTAATCAAAATAGGACCGCCGATCACCATGGTTAGAAGGGTCTGACGCTGGGAAGGGCAGTGCTAAGATGATTTATGGGGATGGAGGCCCAGGACTTGGGATTGCAGGATCCCATGGACTCTCTGAGACCACCCAGTTTTTATATTTATCACTAGGTTGCACAGATGGCACTCAAATATGGGTGAGAGAAGATGCCTTTGAGTTTTCAATCACCGTGCTCCAGTAGACAGTTTCATACCGATAATGTACCAAAGACGGTTTCTGTGGAAATTTATTTAGCACTCAAAGTTTCCTTCACATTCATTCTACTGAACAAGACCTTTTATCTCCTGCTCATTCTACTTCAACTCAAGTCATCGGTTTTAGGCACAAAGATTTTAGTGATTTTCTCTCAAAATCAAGTTTAAACTACTTGAAGTTACTGATAGAGCAAGCAGATTTTGTTGAACAGTTTTGAACTCCTGTTAGTACAAATTAATACCCTTTGCCTAAATAAAGTTAGGCATTTTTGGTTTTAAAATTGATTCCCATCACAGACACTGTACAGCTTTAAATTCAACGCTGGCCTGGATCGCATCAGCACAGGCCCGACTGCAAGCCTGTGGGGAAAGGGCGCTGCGCTCCTGCGGTAACTGCACGCAGCCAGCCTGCCGCTTTACACCGTAGTGTTACTTTGCAGGAGAACCACGCAGCTTTACAGTGAGACAGACTTAAGGCTGTTATAGTTGTTTCTCATACTATGCACAGTAAACTGGCACAATAATCATTACGTAACAACTATTCAACAACAAAAACACCGTATTTTACTACACTTGATTATCATACAAAAATATGCACATTTTTTATTTTAAGACAGTATTAGTAACAGTACCTAATCTTTTTTAAACTTGTAAATTCACAAAAAATTATGAAAAGGAACTGAGTGTGAAGGAAGAAAATTACAGAGAAATGGTAAATCCAAAAACTAAATTTTGAAACATTTGTCATAATAAAAAAGCAGCTTCATGAGAAAAGATTTACACTTTCAATGGCAGGAAATGTTGTTTTAAGGCAATCAGGGCTGGTTTCCAATCCAGGCCTATAAAAGCTTTAGTGACAATGCTGTTTGTATAAACTGAAAATAGTCCTTATTTTCTAGGCAACGAGTTGGCAGAAACATTGTGTTTATCCATAGGATGAGTTTCCTAAGACACTGTATAAGAACTGCTGTTAAGTCCAGAGACATCAAGCAATTTTAAAATGCAAATAATTAAAGTAGAAACAGCTACTCAGCACATATAAAGGCAAAATATACTATTTTGAAAAAATTGGTTTAGAAAAGGAGATTAACTAGACATAAAAATTTTCAGAATCTTGATGGCAGCTTAAGAAACGAAGGTAACTGGATGTGCGTGCACTTGGAGGGATGGCTGAAACGGCACCATCACTCACTGCACAGGAGCTTAGGCTGGAACCCTGGAAAGGTGGCCAGCTTCCTGTCTGCTACACCCTTGAAAACAAGGGTGTAGCAGACCGAGCACATACCTTTGTGTGCTTTTGTCTCTCAGTATTGCTGTCAAAGTCAGGAAAGGCTGTGGAGAGGAGCACTATTCTCGCTGCTGAAACAGCAGTGTTTGAGGTAAGTCCACGTTCCCTATTCCTAAGGATTAAGAACGCTGAGAGAAGAGGGGCTTCTGTGCGGGGCTCTGACCTGTGCCCTTGCTGGGAATCTTCAAGGAGAAGGGCCAACAGCAGTTCGCCAGGCTGGGAATGCTGACGGGAGCCCAGGGGCCTCCGAGCAGCCCTGTGGTCGGTGAGGGTTGCTGCTGCCCAGGGCTGGGCAGTGCCTCGCTGCCTGGAAGCCTGAAGAGCCTCTCGGATCAGCGCCCCGCCAGCTGCCGCATCCTTGGTGATGCTCACAGTGACAGAAATGTGGCTCTGGAGGCTGCTGGCTGTTCGTGTGAAGCTTAGAACGAAAAACCTAAATCCAGTATACTGAGCGTGATTTTAAAAAGTGAAATTATATTTTTCTTTTACTCAGTATCTAAATGTCAAAGGCACTTCTAAGCTTAATTATATCACCTACCACAAATGCTTTAAAGTTACAGTGCATATCACTTTAAAGTTAGTCCTATGAAGTTAAAAGCAAACTGATTTCAAACTGCAGTGATCTGGGGTCTCACACAAGGTGATCTAAGATGCTCTTCTTCCCACTGTCTCCTTTTGAGTGCTGATCTGATCAAGTACTGGGTAACCTTTCGTAGGTGGTAGGAAAGAAGTGGAAGAAAAGAAATGCAAAAAACCTGATTAGTTTGATCACAGTAGTTAAGAAAGGGGGAATGTTCGCAAATCATCTAACATGAGCCAGACCTTTAAGGACAGGAAGAGGACATAAAAACAAAAATTACACTTTTCTTAAAATACCTGTGAAGGCAGCATGATTCAATGTTTTTAAATATTAGTGCAAATTTCAACTATTATTCTTCTTTATAAAATTATTAAGAGTTCTAAAATCTCTAGGTTAGCAATTTCAATTCGGAGGGAAAAATTTATAGCTTCCCTTAAAAAGTTCAGAAAATACTACATTTTAGTCTTCGTTTGCTAACGTCTCAGTAGATATCCATATTTTGGCCCCACTTAAAAATTTGCCTAATGGTGTTCCTAAAATGCTTCGTCTGCATAGATTGCCAACAGGAGAAAACGGAAATGAAGAGGAGAGGAACTCGGGTGTCCCCGAAGCGTCGGGCACGCCTCGGACTCTGAAGTACATCCTGCTCTGGTCCAGGTCTGTGTAGCAGGCTTCCAGCGGGCTGCTACGCTGCTGCCGCAACATTCTGCTGAGCATATCCACCTCGTCCACCAGCAGGGAGAGCTTGTGGAAGGCAGTGATGGAGCCCCCGAGGTGGATCTGAGCCTCAGGGACCCAGCGGAAGTAGCACAGTTTCCATAATTTGATGTGTGTTCCCGAGAGATGAGGCAGAATCACACCATGGAGGTCCGCTGGTTTGGAAAACCATTCTCTGAAGTATTGTTCCATATCACTGTTCTGGCTGTCAGTGTACTGAAGTGGGTCTGGTTTTCGCTTTAATATTAGTGAATTTCTCCTTGGAAGCAGTTCTTGGTCACTGATAATCCCATTCTTTAAGGAAGATGGCATTCCTCTCAGTGTAGAACTGTAGCTCTTCTGCACAGAAGACAAATCACAACATTACCCTCCTGGAGTGTCTCTTTTTGACAAAAAAAAAAAAAAAAGACTAAAAGTGCCACGGCAAATATAAACCGAGTACGTATGGAAAATGAAATTTCGGCTTCAGAGAATATTTTTGTTCCTCCCCGTGTTGTGCTTACTCTCCTCCTTCCCTGGAGGCATTGTTTTTTCAGGGTTGATTCTCCCGAGACTACTGCCATGCCTGAAATGAATCTATCGTATCTATCAGCTCAAACGGGTATTTATAAGACTTCTGGGTTAGGGAAAAAACCTAGACCTGACTGATTCTGGTACAAAAAATGGGCAGACTAGGTAGGTTTTAGGAAACCGGGCTCCAGGCCCACAGCCTTGATCTGCCAACGGAGATGTGAAGAGGCTTCACAGGACTCACGGCCAAGAGTCACAACATAGTCACATCAGTAAAAAAGGAACAATCCTTGAAAACACTGGATTCAATTAACAGTGTTACTATAGGTGGGCTTTATTTTTAGCATTCTGGGATCCTGCGTGCTTACGTGCGAGCCAACAAAAGTTTTGTACTGTTAGTGTGCTGCTGTGGTTTACCTTTGTCCGCTTAAAAGACTTCACAGAGCCGTTCTGTACGTAGGGCACGCTCTTTCCAATGTAGAAGGGGTTGTGGAAGAGAGTGCGGTCCTTTGCTGTGAACTGAAGAGACCAGTCCCAAACTGAGGGAAACTTTAAGCCCTTTTCGTCACCCAGTTGGATATTTTTGCTTATAGCAAATTCCTGCAAAACAAAATATTTGAACGTGTGAAAAGATGAACAGCTGGAGACTTTCTCCTGTGGGATCATTTCTTTGATGAGCTTTTGTCACGGAGCAAGTAAACATTCTGAGCCAGGGCACTCAAAACCCACTAAAGCAGTGCTGTCTGCTCCTAGAGCCAGTGCTGTGCCAATGGTCGAGCCCAGAGACGCACCGGATGCCCTGCGAGTGGGCATGCCGGGGGCTCTGCAGCATGCTCTCTGCCTTGGGAACAAGGGGCCGTGTCCTCTGGCAGTGAAGATGTCAGTGGGAGGGAAGCTTCACTAATGTGATGCTGTATGGTCTTAGGATGTGCTGAAGCCCCCACTCTGAATTTCCACCACAGCAGATCACGGCAACAACCCAAGGCCTCGCCATGAGAATGACAGTGCTCCTCTGCGAAGCAGCTCTGGGACCAGGCTCAGCTGGAGCAGTTGCCTTTGGTCATGTGCAGAGAGGATTCTGCTCTTAGAGAGGGACAAAAACAGGCCACATCAAGTTTATACAGAATGGTTCCCTGAAGAATATGTCCCCAACTAGGCTCTGGATGGTACCAAATGATTCATTGTTATTTTCTATTCTGTATCTTTAAGTCTTCCAAATTTTCTACAAGAAACCAAGAATTTCTTTAAAATAAGTCAGAGAGAAAAAAGCAAAGAATAAATGTTAACAGGAAAAAAACTAGAGCAGTGAGGAGGCCTGGCTGCATCACAGCCAGAGATGTACCTGCACAAAGTGGGTGGGAATCAGCAGGCAACGCATAAGCTATGGAACGGTAGAGGCTCATTTCAAAGTTTTACAAAACTTTGTATTTCAAATAAAAAATTCATTAAACACTAAATATACCTAACGTTTTTCTTAGTTACCTGAGATTTCATCCAACATGAGTGGATAAAAATAACTGATCTGTAAAGGACTAAAAGCTAAAATCTAGTAAAACATAACCTCCACCTGTTTAATGTTCCTTAGCAAAGTATATAAAAAAAGTCACATTTTTAACAATGTAAAATTAAAAACATTTATCTCCAAAGAAAATCAAATTTTCCACCAACAGTAACACTAACCTCTGACCGCTAACCTCTAAGGTAGCCTCAGAATGGAAAAACGAGGGACTGCGTTTGGTGCACAGCGTGTGTGTGGAGGGGCTGCAGGCAGGCCAGTCCCTACTGGAGGGGAAAGGAAGGTGGCATCCACGTTAGTGTTTGTCAATTTCCAAAACAGGCAAATGCAGCTCTGGGACATGAAACGGAAAGCAGATGTAGTACTCTTAAATATTCGTTATCTTTTATGCCTGAACAGAAATCTATTTGGCAACATCTCTCAGCACATCCAGGACCCCACCAGGTGAGCAGTGGGCGTCTCTGGAAGCCGTAAAGTTCTCTGCTCAGGTATTCAGCCAGTGCACTGCCATGGCACTAGGACCTCACAGGACACTTCGGTTAAATGAGGCCGGGGCTTCCTCGCCCTCTCCTCCTTCTGCAGGCTGTGTGTGTGTGTGTGTGTGTGTGTGTGTGTGTGTGTGTGTGTGTGTGTACAGCTAAGCATATGGAGGAGTCTGGAGAGAGGGTGAGGGAGAAAAACACAGCCCAGGAAAGGAAGGGCTCACAGTACAGAAAGGCACAATGACAACAGTGCAAAGAATGAAAATGACAGTACAAAAAGTAACTGGGAAACCTTTTAAGAACAAATAAATCTTTCAGGTCTTTAGAGTCTGGGCCTATCATTCATCTTCAGTAGTTTGGGAAAGATGAACCCTATTAGGGAAGCACAGAATATATTTCACAAGAAACGCCCCCCAAGCTATTCTGTCTAAAAACTGTCTGACAGGGCCGAGTTTCTCTGAGGCGTGGTCTCCCCAAAAGCAGCAATGTCTGTGTTCCAGAACCAGCTCGCATGCTCCCTGACCTCCAGTTTCTGCCTCTATTCTCAACCTCAGGTTTGGTGCTTTTCTGTGGGACACTCCCCATTCATGAAATTTTCCCTGCTACTACTCAAATAATTCATATTTGAGATAATTTGCAGAATACATCCCAATTCACAAATTATTTCCATCTTGCACAATGAGACCAAAGGCCTGACTCAGAGAATGGTCCCGTTCTCCAGACGTGGAACACAGGCTCACAGGCTCACTCCCGAGAGGGCAGCAGCCCACCGCGTTTCTCAGTAAGGGCCAGAACTCAGGATCCCTCACGCGCTTCGTCACACAACGTAGGCCAGGGCCCTCACACTGAGGCTGAAGACCGCGGAGCTCCCTGTGCCGATGGCCCTGTCTTAGTCTCCCTCAAGCGCTGCAGCAGCTGCCTGTCCATTTCTACCCACGGTCACCAAGCCCTTCCGGACTTCTCTCACTGCTGTCCACACACAGGTGAGAGGACTTGCACAAAGTTCGCAGAGTGTGCGGTGAGAGGCATCTCCAGAGAACTTCAGCCTAGCACCGTGTCCACCTCCACCTCCAAGCTTGCTGCTCTCTGCCTGCCTGGCAACCAAGGGCCCTGGTTTCAATTCCTGGTACCAAAAATAAATAAACCAATAAAGATAAAAAATAAACTTTCTGCTCTACAACTCTTGAAGAAAAATAATCTTGTTTCATACAACTTTTATTGAGGTAGGAAACAAGTGTCCTCAAACAAGGTCATTTTTATTAAATAAGCCAAACGTGAAAATAGAAATACACAAGCATGACACTTAAGGTGCTTAGAATAATTTACATCCTTAAACTTGTTTATTATGAGCAATTTACAGAGAAAAACATAAAATGTTCATTTATAGAAATGCAAAATGTTTTGCCTTTAAAACAGATTAGGAAGTTACTCTTGAAATGGTAACAAAATCTGAAATTACACAGTATAATATGGAGTTAGGTACACTTCAGTTGTTGAAATACACGCATAAAAGCAGCCACCGCTATCACGTCACTTACTGTGCTCTGCTTCACCCGCTGGTGCGGAGAGTTGAACAGGAAGGTGCCGAACAGTGAGATCCGGGTACTGTCATACAGCACTGCTAAGTAGGTCTCGGAAAACTCGAAGGCTGCTGGGTATTGTTCTAACAGCTGCCACGTGGCGTCCAGGAAGAGCAGGAACAAGGGAGACTGGCAAATACAGAGGCGGGTGGGGTCACTGAGCTAACGCTGAACAGACGGAACATACCGTAAACACCACGTAACACCCCTAACTTGCAAAGCCACAACACAAGCAGGCTGCCGCTGTACGCATGGAGAAGAGCAAGATCTGTGTCTCCGTTCCTGGAAACAGCTCTTCAGGATGTAAAACAGCCCAGTTCTAGAATTCACGTCTGCTTGACCCTATCGGCTCAGTGTCCAGACAATGTTTTCAAGTTTCAGAAAACAGTCTGGCATTGGCACGTAGGCTGCTGCTGTGTCCTCCAGTAACTGCAGACGGCCCTTCTGGGCGTTCTACCACAAGACAAATGGTGGCTGGAAACCCTCCTGTGAATACCAGCCTGGCTGCCTGGCCCATAAGAGGCAGGAAAGTCTTCCATGGCTGAAAAATGGGTCCAAGGCAGAAACCAGCACCATGACTATTGCAAAAACAGCCCCCTAAAAAATCTCTGTTCTGAACCCATTGTCCCAGTAAGGAAATATGATATTTTAAAAGTGCTATTTCAAAACATCTAAGGTGTTTATCTGCTTTGCATAAGAATTAATGCAGAATTCTTCAGGCAGTTTCTAACTCAGGCAAACTGGATTGGTAAGTCTTTAAAACTTTCACCTACATAGTTATGGTAATCTAAGTACAATCTGGATTCTTTTTTTTTTTGGTTTTTCTCTGGTACCAGGAACTGAACTCACGACCTTGCACTTGCCAGGCAGGCGCTTTTGCCGCTGAGCTAAATCCCCAGCCCCACAATCTGGATTCTAATACAATCAGCCTTAGACTAAGGAAACTAAGAGGTAATAAAGGCAGTATTTTTAAAAAGTCCCCTCATTTCTTTACATAATGACACAAATGTAATCTTTCGTATACTTGTAAGACTCATTACCTCTTTCTCTGATCTCTTTAAATGGTTGCATCTGTCTAGGAACTGATATCCCGCCATGACCCACTCCTTCTGTATCAGACTCTGGAATCCAGTAATTGTCCTGAAATACGCATCCAGCATCATTTGAACAAGAGAAGCTACAAGACAGCTCAAGTCTCTTCCCTCCTCCTCTGTGAAGAAAATGGAAAGAAAATTATGACAAAGAAACACCTTGAAGGGAACACGAGGTAAATTAGATAATTCAGTATCCTGCATCTAGGTACCTTCAAGACAGCCCCTACAAGGAAACTTAACCAGACCCCACCAACTTAGAAATACTTCACACTTTTATATAAGCTAAATTACTGTTTAGTAGGCATGGCCTTATACATGGATATTTTCCAAATGGGCGCAGCTCCCCCCTCCCATTTTGGACAGACCCTGCCCTACCACTCTTTTGTCACAGACCCCAAGTATAATATCATCTTCCCACTGAGGACTCAGGACAGCGGCTCAGAAGTGAGTGGAGAGACGGGGCTTCTCCGCATTATTATCTGAAAAGGTGGTCAGCTTTTCTTCCCCGTCTCTTACAGCTCTTGTGCTTTTCAATGAGGCCAAAATTACTCTGATAATGAAGCCAGAGGAAGAGTGAGAAAACTGTCAACTGATACCTTTTATATGATTATAGATGTACAAACCATGAACAAAATACTGTGTTAATAAGACAAATGATCCAGAAATCCAAGAATGTACCCCACGAAGGCAAGGTTTGTCTTGACCAAGTAGCCATACTATATTAATAAAGCACAGGCCAACAACAACCTGACCATCTCATGAAAAACCAAAAAAGCATCTGACAATTCTACATTCATTCCTCCTAAGAACTCTCAGCAAACCAGGAACAGAAGGGACCATCTTCAACCTGATCAGAGATATCTACAAAATCTATTAACATCATTCTCATTGGCGGAAGGCTGAGTGCTTTTCCTTCAAGAATGGGAGGGCAAAGGTATATTTGCTGATACCATGATCCTCACATAAAATGTCCTAAGGAGCCCACAAAATAGAGCTGAGTTTAATGAGACTGTGGGAATTCCATATACAGTAACAACCAGTGCACAGTAAACCTGAAGGTGAAATTAAGAAAACTACAATCACAGTAACATAAAAAACTTGAGATTTAATAAATGCCAGACTTCTACAATAAAAACCAGAAAACACTGCTGACAAAATGAAGTAAGACCTAAACAAATGGAGGCACATTCATTTCATGATCTATGGATTTAACACATTCCCACCAAAATCCATGTAGACTTTCTTCTTGGCTAAGCCTAAAAATTATATAGACATGAAAGACCCATAACAGCATAGCCAAAACAATTCTAAAAACAAGGTGGAATAGTTACATGTCTCAATCCTAAAACTCACCACACAGCGACAGTGCTCAAGATAACGTGTTACTTGGTTTATGAACTGGCAGAAGGATCAATGAAATAGTGACCAAAAATAAACCGTTACCACTTATTGTCTATGATTTTTGACAAAAATGCCAAGGCTACTTACTATTTATTTCTAGTACTAGAGATGGAAACCAGGGCCTTTGCACTGAGCTACATGCTCAGCCCTCTTTTCTTTTTTTTTTTTTTTTAAGATAGAGTTGCTAAATCACTTAAATTGCCCATGGTGGGCCGAACTTGCGATCCTCTTGCCGTGGCCTCCCAGAGTGCTGGGATTACAGGCAGTGCCACTATGCTGTGCTTCTAAGCAGTTTATCACAGAAAGGACATTCTTTTCAAGAAATGGTGCTGGAACCACTTAATATCTACATGTAAAAGAAATGCATTTAGACACTTACCTCCTAACATGCAAAAATTAATTCAAGATAGATCATAGATCTAAATGTTGAAAACTAATACTACAAAAGTTATACACATCAAAACATAGGAAGAAAATCTCTATGATCTTTAGTTAGGCAAACACTTATTGGATATGGCATTAAAAACATGATCCATTACAGAAAAAAGCAGCTGAACTGTACTGCATCAAAACTGAAAACTCAGTGTTGTAAAAGGCATCAAGATAATGAAGAGCCAGGTGTAGTGATGCCTGTCTGTAATTCTAGCTACTTAGGAGGCTGAGGCAGGAGGACTGCAAGTTTGAGGCCAGCCTGGGCAAATTAGCAAGACCTAAACTCAAAAACTAAACAAGAGGGTGTGGATGTAGTTCAGTGAGTGACACAGCCTGGGTTGACCCCCAATTATCACACACAAAAAGAGTTAAAGAATCAACAAAAGCCACAAACAAGTAGAAAAATAGGCAAGTCACATGAAGATAGAAAAAATTTGTTCCCATAATACATAAAGAATTCTTACAATGCAATAAAATGAAATGCATTAGGGAAGTGTAAATGACAGCTACAAAAAGCATCTCTTGGAGAATGATCCCAAAGACAGACAAGAGTGTTGGAAAAGATGTACTGAAACTGGAATCCTCACTCACTGCTGAAGGGAAGGAAAATGTGGTCCAAATGTGTTAGAAAATACTTTGGAAGGTTTCTGATATTCTAGCTGTGAGACATTAAGCAGGCCAAGCCCCTTGATTCTTTTATTTGTAATAGGAATAATAGTGGAATAGATATCTCTAAGATCTCTTTCTGGTTTACATTTCAAAATTTTGTATTACTTTTCTAGTATTTTGTTACTTAATACTGTGTCTGTCAGTTTGGCAGTTTTTTTAAAAAGTTGGGTATAAATAAACCTTATAACTTGGCAATTCCATTTCTATAAATTTCTATATAATTTATATCCCCCAAAAGACTTTTATGTGAATATTCACAGCAGCATACTTCCTAAAAGCCAAAAGGAGAACCACCCAAATGTTCATTAACATGTAAATGAATAAACAAATGTATTTACAAATGACAGAATAGAATTTAGAAATAAAAAGGAACAAACTACTGATATGTGCTGCATGAATGAACTTCAAAAGCCTGTACCAAAGGGACCATGGACAGAAGACTACATATTGTGTGATTCCACTTAAACAAAATATCCAGAAAAGGCAGATCTATATAGGCAGAAGGCAGGTAAGTGACAGTGTAGAGCTAAGACAGAGAAGTCTTTTGGGAACGATGAAAAATTTCTAAAACTAGATTTGTCCATTTACTAAAAATTACTGAATTAAAAGTGGGTGAATTTTACAGTATATAAATTATATTTCAATAAATGTTAATGTAAGTGTCAGTAAAACAGGCTCCTTACTTCTGAGGCTTTTTATATCACAAATGCATGGAGAGATTGAGGCTGAGTAGGACTTCCCAGTAAGATGAGAACAGGCATTGGCTGAGAGGTTAGAAAACACCTGAGTGCTAGCCTTTGCACACATTTGTGAATTAAACACACACTCCGTATCAATTAAGAATTATTTTATTTAATGCATTACAGTGGTACCTTGACTCATCAATGTTTCCATTTGCAGACAATCTGGTTCGCAAATAGAAGTGCTTGGCAAAATTTTGCCTTTGTTTGCAACTCTGCATTGAGTGATGAACATGATGCAGCCATCTTTCCCATACAAACACAAACATGGCCATCTTTTCCAAAATTGTAGAATAAATTAAGTTCATGAACCAAAGTACCACTGTACTATCCTTTTTCCCCTAAGGTTTTAAATATCTTTGCGTTGTTAAAGTCAGTAAGGTTTGAAGGTTGGTAAAAATACTTCTACAACTTAAGTAGCATCCTGGTTCGTTACACTGTACTATGCAATGTGACTTGGTACTTTGCAGTCTATTACATTTTATCTGAAAACTAAAAAATTCCATTAGCTAGAGAATTACTTAATCCATAATTACCTCTTACTTAACTTAAAGATTTTTACATTGAGTTTATTTCTATCAAATATTAGACAAAATTCACATTATTGGTTACTCAGTCTATTTCCTGATACCAGACTCTTTTTCTTCCGGTCAGTCTACTGTGAGTCAGAAAGCCTTTGCACTAAAACAAATTTGTACGAATGAGGAAGATAGCAAGATTAGAGAGGACGTCCTGCCAAAATTGATACTGGGTATTAAACCAAGATATGATGTAACCTAGCCCATAAAGTAGGAGGGATTTGATGAACAGTAGAAAATGGCACTCCTTTCTACTCTACCTGCAATCTTTCCACCATTATTTACTGATGTATAAAATCTGTAGTGTATTTTACAACACTGGAGTACAAAGACATAGCTAAAACTGATGTAATTTACTTGAATGTGGAACCAGTAGCCAAGGTTGGCTGGTAGCGGAGTCAAAGTGTTCTGGGGAATGACTTTAATTACCTTGTAGGACCACTGATAGATGTTTGCTTTCTAGCATGTACACAACTTCTGCTGAATGTTTAAGGAATGCCCTGAAAAGAGAAAAATACTGTTAAAAAATGAAATTTCTACCGCATATACATTTCTCCCCTGCTGCCTGTGCCATACTTGAAATCAAACAGAACTCATTTTTCACTGTACATATTTATATTTTCAATCTTTGTGACTGCCATTAGTATTTATATGATTTTTCAACAGAGGACATTTTGTGATTTTTGTATCAAGAGGTAAATTCATCAACCCTTTATCAAAAGAAAGGGCCTGACTTATATAATAACAACTGTAGAAAGACAACATCACAGACATGGAGAAGACTGCATGGTTGCCAGGGTACAGGTTCTGAACAGGTGGTACAGGCTCTCTAAAGCTGTCAGACAACACCTGAGTGCTAGCCTTTGCACACATTTGTGAATTAAGCACACACTCCGTATCAATTAAGAATTATTTTATTTAATGCATTACAGTGGTACCTTGATTCATCAATGTGGTACAAGCTGTCCATGTGATAAAACTGCACAGAACGACATGTGCGCTCAGCACCTGCACACGTAAGTGCATGTATAAACTCAGAAAATGTGCAGACTTTACCAGTGTTGATGTTCTGGTTTTGACGCTCTATTCTAGTTACTTAAGCTGCTGCTACAGAAGGAGGCTGGGTGAAAAGTACCTGGCTGTGCTATTTTTTTTTATATTATGTGAGTCTTGAATTATTTCAAAAGAAAAAAAAGAAGTTGACAAACCTGACATATTCTAACCACCGAGTATTTTCCAGTGAAGATAACCATTTCTCTTCAGTTTCTTCAAAAGGCTCTGTAATATAAATGGTAACTATATATACGTGTATATATCATGCAAACACATTTTGAGGCTACTAAGCTTAAATTAACACGATCCATATCAGTTAAAAGATACAGCACAGTTTTTAGTATTTAAAAGTTGGCTTTACGGAAGAATTGTGCACTTCCACATTAGTAATACAGAGTAAACAGCTAAGAAGATAGGATTCTACAACACAGCTAAATAAAGCCTTTCCCAGTGCTCCTCTCGGCACTCTGGCTCTTTCAGGGAAGCCTCAGGAAGTTCCACCAACACTGTCCCTGACAGCTTATGATTTCCAGTCTTCCTGGCCCTTGATTCTAGCCCTCCCGACTAGCATGAAGGGCCACCCAGAGCTCCCCCACACCTTCCTCACCGCAAGCCCTGCCCTCCCCCCGCTGCCCGTGCCGGCTCTCTGCACACGTGGCCCTGGGGGCTGCACACTTAGGAATGAGAGGCACAGGGTGAAGAGCACATTCAAGACACTGTGTTTTTCCAGACACCCTGCTTCTGCCCCTCAGAGCTCTCCTTCCCGGCAACCACCCATTGTCCAAGACCTGCTGTAGGAGCGCCTCTCCTGCCAGGTGAGGCAGGAACTCTACCTTTATGCCAAAGATGTAAGGCGTTCTCCTATGGCACACCACAGCCACCTAAGAACCCGATCAAATACACAGATCAAGGCTCTGAGGCTACAGGTACAATACAGTTCTGTTTCAGGTCTATGCTGTCACCGATCCCAAAAGTATCCCCTATGAATTAAAACTCTTAGTTTTTCTGTTAGGTAATACTATCAGATACTATTATATCTTTCATAACTTGCAGATTTTAACAGGTTCACTTCTTTCTCTCCAAAACAAAAAGCAACTGAAACTTCATTTGCTAGAGGTTCTGACCTTCTCATATGATAGAAGTTGAACAAATATTTCAATGAGTTTCTCCTTAAATATACCAATTTCAGTATTGTTAAGGAGTATCACTTTTTCTGATGGGTCATATACAATTCTTCACCCCCTTTCAAAAAAAAAAAAAATATATATATATAAAATAAAAATGAAGTTACCATTAACACATAGTTGCTTAAGCTTTACAAATGCCGCCTGTATTTCTTGAATATTAGGTAAAGTCTTATCCAAATCCAACTTGTAAACATCACTTCTCTGTGGATGACTTTTAGTTATTGCATTACAAATCCTAATAGAAACAAAATCCTTTAGTCACTATTAATTCATTTCTTTAATAGTCAGCACCCACTGCAAGCTAAGGCATTATTCTAAGAGCCTGGGACAGGGAGACGAAGAAGACAGGCTAGGTCTCTGCCTTCATGGGGGTTATATTCTGGGAGGGTGTAGAGCAAAGGAGGAGAACACAGTGGGCTACGGGGAAGGACAATGCAAACAAGTCACTGCAGGCTACTCCAGCTCAGCGCGGCTTCTCTTTGAAGACACACTGAATGATGGAGTGACACAAGGACCTGAGGGAAAATGTTCTGAACAGACAGGCAGCTGCCAGAAAGGCCCTGTGATGAAAACAAGTATGGCTCTAAGAAAGCGCTGAGAGCCAGAGGCCAGAAGACAGGCCAAGGGGAAAAGGTGTGGCAATGAGGTGAGACAACGAAGAAAATCTGCACTGTTTATGAAGAATGGACTGATTTAAAATAATTCTTAGTTTAATAAAATAATTTAATTGGCCACTGGCTGTAAGGTTTTATAATTAATTCTCCCCCAAAAGTGTTGTACAGTACCTTCTAATGGCGAAATTCCTGAGTATGTAATCAGCACATGCCAGTGAGAACAAAGATGGAATATGACCAAATAGCTAATTCTAATGTTATTAATATAACATTAATACCCATCTAATACGATTAGGATAAAACAGGGACTTGTGAGAACTGCAACCATGTTTTCTGGAAAACTAAAAGGGCATATACAGATCCCATGGCAGTTACTTGCTTCAACAAATGCTGCTTTCTTAGTTACAGCACTGCGGAAAAAAAACCTAAGATCTGGCTGCTCTCATAACTGGACGATGGTATCTCTAAGGCTCTTTGGACCTGTTTTTAAAGATGGGCTCATCTTTCCTTATTTACTCAATAAGCAGTTTATAAATATTAGGCACTTCCTGATGCTAACTGTGTGGACAGTACGCAAAATGGACACAGCAATGCACAGGGCCTACGGCCTAGAGAGAAAGGCAGTCATCAGACACACACACCAACAGAAACAAGTGTGAAGAGAAGTTAGCGGGCTTTAGAGAATACACAGCTGTGAGTGCTGATCTCACAGGTCAGCTTAGTTGAAGGAGGGCAACTCTGGACTGCACTCCGAAGGATGCGGACCGAGTGGGCGGTGGGGGGGGGGGCGGCGTGCTAAGGAAGGAGCACTGAAGAAAATAGCCCAAGAGGAGGGAAAAGCACTGGAAAATGTCAGGAAAGCAAAAGACCAGGGAACACTCAGGAGGCTGGGACACAGAGGGAAGAAATGAGGCACCCAGGACATGCACATAGGTGAAGCTGGGTTGGAAATATGCGGGCTTATAAAATTTCTAAAAAGTGAAGTGACAAAATCTGATGAGGACTGGAGATGGGGGAGGACAGTGGACAGAAGTGACACTGGGGACCAAGACAGCATATGTGAGAGTGACCACCAGTGCGTCTGCCACGACAAGCACGACCGAGTAAGGCCTCCGACCCCCGCGATGTGCAGGTTACTGAGGACTTTACAGATGCGGCCAAACGTGTTTGTGGGGGCTCCTTAAAAGCACACACTGAACTGAAAGGCCAGTCTGGTATTTCCTGAAGTGCTTCAACTGGACATTACTGCACTTTCACAGCATGTTAAAGGCAGTGTTACTGCAAGACGTCAGCAACATAAGGTCTGCAAGTATTTTATAAACGAAATAATCAATTATATTTACTAGGACTTACATAGTGTAGACCTACTGTACTTATGACAAGTACAACTATCTCAAGTGAGACCATTTCTCAGTTACCTCTGGTCGATTTTCCTCTGCTGCAGCACGTCCTTGATGAGGGCCATTCGCACAAGGGCGCTGCCATTTGAGTGGCTCCAGCACCAGAGCTAGGAGAGAGGCAGAATCCTTACTTACCTGGGTAGAAACCATGGACATCGGCATCAATGAACACATCCAACAGTAATCACTTACTGGCATCCTTCTTCCAACAAAAGAATGGGAAAAGATCTTCAGATCTTGGTCTGCTAAAGAACTTGGCACTACAAAGTATTCTGGAAGGCTGGAGGGGGAAGAGATCATACTTAAGAGGTCTTTGCTCAAGGGAGGCCTAGTACACTCTATAGTCACCATCTATACCTAAATACATTTACCTGCACTCAACACGCACCTCACCTGGCAGCCACCCTGGCGGGCACCATGAGGGCACTAGTGATCCTGGCTGTCTCTGTCTACAACAGGTGTGATACGGTCATTTATCACAGAATTAAAATTTATACCATGAGAATTTTTTTTAATTTAAAAATATTTTCCAGAATGACTATTAATCAAACATACACAGTGTCTAGAAAACACATCCACTTTTGTTTTCTTCACAGGCTGTGGCTAAAGATACGCCAGACAAGCAAAACAAAGAAGAACCCCATTACTCTACCGAAAAGCTTCAGCTCCCTTCCTATGTCCTTCTACCCGCCCCGTCCCTGCTAGGCACAGTCTGGCTGCAGGACACTGATCCGCTCAATGAAGCTCAACACACCCTCGGCTCTCTGTTCAGCCTGGTACATGACAAAGGCAGGCAGGGCTGGGCACAGTCCCGCCTTCTTAGTACACACACCTCACAGCATGCTGGCCATGTATGTCAACCTCAAGGGGAAGCAGAAAACACAAGGTACAAGCTCCAGACCACCCCCCCCAGATCTGTACCCTCAGAAGTTCCTAACACAGAATAAATTGGTAGAGCTGGGGGTGGTGGTGCACACCTATAATCCAGCACTCAGGAAGCTAAGGCAGGAGGATCGTTGCAAGTTTGAGACCAGCCTGGGCTACAAAATGAGCTCAAGGCTATCCTGAATTGCATAGTGAGACCTTGTCTCAAAAGGAAAGGAAAAAAAAAAATGGCAGTAACAGGGTAGCGCCCCCTCCTTTTTTCCTTAATAAAATGCTGACTGCCTACATGAATGAATGAGGACTTCAAAGATCTTAAAGCATTCTAAAAACTTCAACAGTACTAAACTTTATCAGATAAATGTAAAAAGTCCCTGTCACTTTTGAAGAACTTTAGGGAACCTGCTCACTATTTGGAAAACTGGTAATATAAGAGCAGATGTAAAGATTTATACTGCCTTTCTTATATGAACCATATTTCAGGCTAATAAAAAGCTGGAGAGATAATCTGATAGAAAAAAATGACAGGACAGGACAAACAGCAATCCTTAATAAAATAACACATCTGGATAACTATTCTCACTCCCAGTGAAAACCACTTTTGGCTGCTGAAACCACGATATAAAAAGTGAAGTTTGTACTAAATGCATCAGGGTGACAGACCCAAGCCTACTGATCAACACTGTAATAAGCATGAGAGACAGAGAGACAGAGACACACGGAGAGACAAAATGAGCCAGCTTGCAAGGGAAAGGTGAAGGTGAGGGGAAGAGACACATCAAGTGAGCCCGCTGCGGACTGGATGCAACGTACCCTGAGGCACAGGCATCACCACCTAGTGATGGTGAGGCCAGAAACACTGAACCTGGATTCAGTCATGCCTCTAGAGTTCACGAATATTTACAGGAAATATAGGAGGCCGACGAACATGTTACAGGACACTGCAGGCATAAAACCAGCAATACCTAGAGCGTGGAAAATTCTACAGAAAAAAATGAACTGGTTTTGTCTGTAAATAAATGTAAGTATATGAAGGTGGGAAGAGAGCCTAAAGAGACATATCAAGCAAATTCAACACAAAACTTTCCTAGGATCCTAGGATCTTGATCTGAACACACCAACTTTATGAGAATTACAAGATAAAATGTAAAAGAACACCGACTACATTACTGATGATGGTAAGGAATTATGTCAACTTCCTTCAATGGATACTGATACTGTAATTATATTTTTAAAACCCCATCTTTAAAATATCCATTAAAGCGTAATCACAAATATTTTATTAACCCTAACGACAGTTATCAGCAGTAGCAGAATTTGATTATTCTTCAGACAGCAGTCACTTCTTGATATAAATAACATTGTTAAAACTGGACTCACCAAGTGGATATCATGTAACCCTCGTTAATAGAACAAACTCTCCACCCAGAAGCACCTGTCCTCTTGATTTCTCTGTCCCAATCTGAGTAAGTTTCAAACAGTGGAGTTTTCTGGCTGGTGGTGCCGCCGCCGCCAGCTCCAACCCCTCCTCTTCCTCCACCTTCTGGGGATACTCCATTAATTTTGTTCGCTGTAGGGAAGGGAATACGGTTAGCTTCGGTGTGGAGTCGCATTTCAGCCAGCATTAGCTCCGCCCTCTCTGTACCTTCTGTCTCACACATGCTCTGATGTGGCAGCCCCTCCCTGCCTCATCTTTCAAGTCTCTCCATGAATCAATTGCATTATCCTTTTGATTTAAAAATAACTCATCTAGGCTTGTCCTTACCTAGCTCTTTTCCCACTCCTTGAAAATACCTTTGATTTCCTGTCCTTCTGCACCTCACCTGCCTTCAAACATAAATAAGCAGGTTGACTTGATTTTCAAAAGTACATCTGATCTCGCGGGTCTACTCTAGCTACTATGCCACACATTTTTCTTCCTTTGTTTTATTGATCTGTTCCATAAATGAAGAAAGCCTAGAAATGTTTTCTCTTCATTTTCCAATCATCCTGCATCCCTACTGTTCTATGGAAACTATTCCTAACCCTGCCAAATTGTCGGGTAAATCCAAGTCATCAGTTTATTTTCTCTACATATTTTGCCTGGAAAAATGAATGCATCCAACAATTATCTGTTCTCAAGCCCTCTGAATCTTTCATTTTTCCAATACCAACTTCTCATCTATCTGCTCATTAGAAAATTCTTGATTTCCTTGAGAAAGTTCACGAACACTGCTTGTGCTCTGCTTGAGTGCTGGCTCTGTAGGGGAATTCTGGCACAGTGGGCCCAGAGCAGAGTCCCTTAGCAAGAAGCCTTCCCCAAGAAAGGAGAACAGCTACCACACTCTGGGAGCATGGCCACAGCCTGGGAGATGCTGCAAAGCGGCTACAGAAGCTGTCCTCCAAATCAGCCAGATCTGTCCCAAGGTGATACATGGCATAGTCCTTCCTGGCCCACTCTCAGTCGCCAGAGACTGCAACTGTGGCAAACTTCCATGCCAACATCCCTGACCAGGCGTCCTGGCGCACCTGAACCTGCCAGCAACTTAGCATAAGATACGCTGCCCTGAAAAACATGTTAGCCCTTGCCCCAACCTTTTAATCAGCTTATTTTCCAAAAGAATCAAGCAAACCTAAATGATTGGTCTTGACCTTAAAGATCCTTCACATAAGTGTTTATTTACCATTATTCCCAACTCCAATTCTCTGTAGCCATGCAAAACCCTTAGTTGTCCCATGAACGGTCCCATGTCCACTCCACAAATCATTTATTAACTCCTGCTACAAGACAGGTCTTTACTTAGAATATATGATGTGTTAACAGCTGAGAGCAGAAAGTAAAATTTTATCTACTTTGAAAGCACTAACAAGACAGCAAGTAAATTCAATAACCACTGTGCACTAGGTGTCTGAGTGAAGAGGACACAGAAGAGGAAGCTCAAAGTTTTGCTAAGTGGGAGGGGTGGGCCCGCAAATGATTCATCACCAGTCCACATGTGAACAGTCTTAAAGAATGTGTCAAAAGTTTCCAGGTAGCTAGTGAGGAAGAAGCAGGCATTCTGGGTAGAGAAGAACATTTTAGAAAACAAGACACAACTGTAAACCATGAAGTAATTAAATATAGCTACAACTTTAGGGATCCAAGCAGTGGCAGAACAGAGGCTAGAAGGTCAGATGCAGCCTAGACTTGAGACCTGTGTTGACCAAAATGTAAACTATCCAGCCAGTTGTGCTTATTAAATATAAACTAAAATGAAAATTAAATAAAAATAGGTCTCTCAGTTGTGCTAACCGTATTTCAAGTGCTGTTCTTTCATATTTCCACATGTGGCTAGTAGCTGCCTTGCTGGACAGCATGGAGGGAACACTTCTATCACAAGGGAGTGCTGTTCTAGATTATGAAGGGTTTTATGTACAGTGTTAGGATTTCTGAATTTTATCTTTCAAGTGGCACTGGAATTAACCAATGATTCTAACAGAGCTCATTAATAATTAAAATGCTAATAAGCTGCATTTAAAGGAGAATCCAATGCCAAGGTCTGTTATTCAAAAAAGGGAAAATTAACGAAGTCCACTGAAAATGTCATTTTCTGAAGGGAAGTGACATTAAATGAGATTACATCACAAAACTTATAAGCATGTCTGTCATGATGTAGAGCTGCTGACACTGATCCTGCAGATAATTCCTTGAGGTTTTCAATTTTTTTGTTCAGAAGCATAAGCTGACATCTTAGCAGTTTTGGTTTTTTTTTTTTGGTACCGGGAATTGAACTCAGGACTGTGCGCCTGCCAGGCAGGTGCTGTGCCACTGAGCTAGATCCCCAGCCCTACTAGCAGTTTTCTAACAAATATGCATCTGCTTTTTGATGTTATTCGCCTAGTAGTAATCTGACTGATGAGCAGTCCTTACAGTTGGTTCCTTTGTGTTAAAAGAACAGCACCAGAGCCACTGTTGTTTACACTGGTGCTTTCCGTGGTATTTGTGTGGAGCCATGTGTCAAGGCCTGAGGGTGCTGCACACTTTCCTTCAGGTCAGGATATTCAGAAGTATGTGCACAACTGCGCAGGCTTTCAGAGAAGGCTTTTACTCATGTGATACTGGATAGGAAAGAAAACTTCAAAATGCTGAAGGCCAGCTAAAAGATTCTTCTCCTAGATAACTACAGGAACTTCTCATCTTCTTTGTGGCAACAGCTTTGTCACCTGCCTGCCTGCATAAAGGACTTCTTTATTCCAGCTAGTAAATCCAGGTGTCACTGAGACGTTCAGGAGTGCGTTACTGATCATCTCTTAGAAATGAATGAATTCTGACTGTGTGGAAATTTCAGGCTTCTTTTGATCTTACAGATACAGAGTTTATGCCTCTGTAATAGCACGGGAGGATATTAAAGAATGTTTGAAGAAACTGAACAAAACTTTGGCCAGTATTATGTTTATGAACTATGTGCTGAAGGAAAAGTCTGAAGGATATAATATAAAAAGTTCCTAAATATTTTAAGAATGAATCATCAAATTTTATTAACAAGGAAATAAGAAAAACTGGTTCATAGGAAACTCAGTGGTGGAACAGCTATAGGTTAATAAGCTGTTTACAGTATTATACATCAGAGATGCCTAGAAGAAATGAGTAGAGAAAAAGGCGAAAAGTAACTTAAGCAGGCATAAGTTACCAACTGCATTTGCTGAGTCCAGCTCATTACACTCCTGCAGAGGTCATGGATCTGTACATGGGACCAAATCATTTCCATCAGCAAAAAGTAGCCTGAAGAACTGGGCTATATCACCAAAAACTTGAAGCAGGAATGGAAGACTGTTTCCTACGCTTCCTGCATCTCTTGAAACTTTCATTTATGCTATTCTCCTATAGCTCTGCACAAGGGTCTTACTGAAGGTAACCAGGATGACCACCATTCTGTAGCCTCATGATGGCCCAAAGGAACATTTACCTAAGTGCAGAATTACTAATGCTTTATTTTTAGACAAAGGTAATTTCAAGCTTTAAAGAAATAACTGTGTTACTCAGCCTGAATTATAATTAATGTACATTTTGGTAAGAGAAGTTACAAATACTTTTGTTATCCAACTTCTACATAGAACAATATAAAAGCTGTTCTTCAGGCATTATTCTTATATATCATCTCTACGGTTGGTTAGTATTGTCTAAAATAATAAAAATATACCACATGCATCTGTGGATACTATGTACTATAACATTTTAATGCATTTATAATGTAGTGATACTATAATATACTTTGTATACGAGTGGTTTAAACTATTACCATACGTTTTAAGGAAAAATATAAAATGTTAGTACAATTAATAATGTAAAGGCCCCAGACAACGCTGAGGTGAATCGATCTTTCATTATAACACACACTGATTTATTTTTCTTCATCCAACAGTGAAAGAACACACATGCTTCGGTCAGCTAGCAGATGCGCGGACACTAACATACAGGGAGCTAACAGGAGATAAGTCCTCTTTACCTTCTCCATCTTTTTATAAATTCTGAACCATGGGCTACTAAAATTACTCTGGATAAATTACTCTGGATATAAAATTACTCTAGAATTTTCCTCGTTCTGTCATGATGACATACATGTGGACAAAACTATTTTACTTTCACAAAACTGCCTAGAATGTATACGTCCACTGGACAAATGCTGACCTGCCTTTCATTAATTTTATTTAGAACGTCAGTGTTTTGACACGCTTCATGAATTCAACTAAAAGTTTTTAACCCTCTGGTTTTTGTATGAAATCACACCTTGCAAGAAAAGTTTATGCTTTTCAATTATTTTTTTAGTTTCCCACCAGTTTTCTTTCAAGTTAAGATTATTTTGACCAAAACTCCCAAATTAAAAAGGGCAGGGGACATATTCTTTATCATAAAATATAAGCCAGTAAAATATTCAACATCACTCTTGTAAGCCTGCGTTTACAGGTGCTTATAGGTCTTTCCCGGTCACTTTTCAAGAAATAATCTGACAATACTGGCTCTGTTAGTATGTAGTGCTTGCCTCCCTAACAGTTATGAAGCTAATAACTGCAATCATTAAAGCTCACACACTTGAGGCTTTTGACAAACACAGAAGAAAATTTATACATGTAAAATTAGTCACAATATTTAGTATTTTCATATTTACCTGAATTGTGGTATTTTTTCCCAACATATTCAAATGCAAAGAGTAGCTGGAGGTCTGTTGGCTGGGAATAATGAGCTATTGCAAGGCATACCTAGGAAAAATTCTACATTTAGAATTTGATTTTAACACACTTCAATGAAATGTACAGTCAGGCCTCGATCACCTGGGGCATCATCCTGGGGCAGTGACTTTAGATACTATTTTACATGGTCTTACGCTGACCTCGTGAAAGAGCTCCTTAGGCCAGATATCTCATTTACTGCTGTGCCCCAAGGCACTGTTAAATCTTCAGTTAGTACATGGAAGTACTCAGCATGTATTTGCTGAGTTGAATTCTAACTGGGAAGTAATTTTACTCCAATAAATGAAACTTTAAAGCAAAAGAACTACTTTCTAAAGCAAGGTAGTGACCATGTATCTACTCAATATTTTTTTTTAAAAAGAGAAAAGAATGAAGTTTCAATTTGGTGAATTAGAAAAGCTCAATGTAAGACATGCTATTTTAATGTTTTAATGAAGTCATAGATTAAAAAAATCTAATCTTAATAGAGGACTCATAATTGCAAAAAGTACCAGAAATACATGGGTGGTATTGAGAAGTACAGCAAAAAGCTATGTTTAAGTTAAATGGTTTCAGACTGTGCCCTGTGGCGGAGTTGTGAGCTTCTTCTCAATCAAAGGGATCAGGGCTTAAATCCCAGGCTCTATGGAGCATCAGATGTATAGCTAAATTGTGTGAGGTTAATTCCTCTTTTCCAGACTCATTCTCCTCATCTGTGAAATGAAAATACCTACGCTGTTATAGGGACTGATACCTAATGCATGCTTGGCCTTCAGAGGAACTGTACATGTGGAAGCTGGTTGTCATTCTCAATAGCTGTTGGGCAGAATGGAAGATGATGCTCTATGCTTACAAGCCCTGGACGAGATTATGGGAGGAGAAGTCCTTAAATGGCCAAGGAACAAGGAAGAAATTTAAGACATACACTAGGGAAGAATAATAGATGACCTACTTAAAAAGATTAAGTATCAGAAGGTAAAAAACTAAGCCAGAATTAAGATACTTTCAACAGTGAGCAAGCAAGAAAATTGTTGGTCCATGTCAACTGTGGTGTCTGGAGTGAGTTGATACAAATTCCATTAACACTAAATGTGTGTCAGCATGCTGCTCAAACACTAGTTTTTAAACTCTTATATAAAACGAGTACTTTCTATCTTAAGAAATTAAAATATACAACCAGGGACACAGACTTTACTAGTGGTAACATTCCCTCTACCCCTCAAAAACCTTTCTAAAACTTACACCTTGACTTCTCAAAGGCCCATTAGCGTTTTCTTTTTTTTTTTTTCCACTAGCTTTCTGTAACAGTTCACTTACAAAATTTAGGAGGCAGTTATTTCATAATCAGTTCAAGCACCTTCTTTAAAGCACTTTTAGGAGCATAACTCCTGAAATCTGTACCTTGAGAAAGTTCCTACCACTTCCCATTCCTTTGGAACTTTTCAGGTCTGTCTCATTTTGCTAAACTGCCACTGCCATATTCTTAAGCCATACTCACCATATGGCACCTCTGGGGCTTCTCTGGACTCCAGAAGTCCACAGCACTTAGGAATTCTCTTCTAAATATACAATTCGGGCTAATAATGTTGCTTTCTTGATAATTAGCTGTGGTTCTCAGACATTGCCTTAATAAATTAAATGTCCTTATTCTTGATTCTTCACAAAACTTCCTCACTGCATGTACCTTACCTTCCCAATGTTCCCTTTCATTCTGTGGTCAATGAAAATGTATGCATATTCTGTCTGACTTGGCCCCAGCCTCCTATCACTCTCCACCTGTAGGAAATCATCCTTCGCCCCCAGTGCAATCATGTTTTCTTGGAAATCACCATGTCTGTTTAGCACTACCTTCTTCTCAAGCCATCACAGACTGAGTCAATTTCAGAGTATTAATTCTCAAAACCCTTCTACTGTCTCCAAATAATGGTAATTCTAATATATAATATGTCATTGGTTAACTGCTTATGCGCCTGTACTTTCAAGGTATTCAAATAATAAGTATTAGTGTAGGTAAAAACTAGTCCATAGGTGGTTCCTTACTATACTTGCACCATTAAGTTCCTTTCCTTTGGGTAGATGTCAAATTTCTCATTCATTCAACAAATATTTACTGAGCATTTACTACACTTTAAGATCTGAGGATAAAGTGAACAAAACAGACACAAATCTATGTCCTCATTAAACTTACATTCTAGTGGGGGAAGCCAGATACTAAACAAGATAAAAACAACAACAAATACAATAAAAATTAATTATTTAAGTGTAAAGGAGAAAAAAGTAGATCAGAAAAGGGAAATATGAAATATAATACTGAGAGAAGAGACAAGCATGTTAGAAATTTAGAGGAGAAAGGAAATTCCTTTCTGCACAGACTAAAGACCTTTAGACCTGGCCCTGAGTTTCATTATCACCCCTCCGGTTGCTCCCCAAAGGTGCACAGAGTCTATCAGTGGCTGCACAAACACTACTACTTGATAAAATTAGTTCCTACTACATTAGTGAAAATGCTTCTACCAAGTAATACTCAGGTAATGACAAATACTCAGAGTCACAGGCCCAAATTACACAGAAAGAAACGGGCCTGGTTTACACAGAAGAAATTCATAGAAAATTGATGATAGAACATGTCTTATTGTAGCTACAAAGCAAAACAGAAACAAAGCCTATCTACAAAGCAAAACCCAACTAAGACTCTAAAAACTCCTTAAAAATAACACACAGTTTCACACTGACTTATGAAACAAATGAGATATGCCTAACAGCTTTTACATTAGCTATTTCACATGTTACACTGAAGCTCAATTTAATGACGTCCACGATGGCTGATGTTCTAAAGGTAGTGCGAAGGGGGAGAACAATGCAAACTACATTTGTTGCTGCTCAGCAGTATAATGACAAGTGTACACAGTTTATTTTCATATAACCTAATTTAGGGATATCTCTGGTACATACACAAGGGCATGGACGGATCTGTGTATCTAAATGACATTTGTTCTGTTACTGTGGAACATTGAGAAGAGAAAGCAAGCCAAGTGTCTTTTTCTTTGCACTTTTTCAAACATGCTATTTTAGAACCCTGCGTCCAAATTCCTAGCTTTCTCAGAGAATCTGAAAGACTTAAAAAAAAAAAAAAAAAAGGTCTCACTTCCATGCAAAATTATTCTGTTCTGCAAGTGTTTTCCAGGCAATAAAAAATTTTAGAAAACCTTTAGTACCCACAGTGGATGGGTTCTCTTTTATGACCAGCAAGAGGTGCAGCACTAGAGAAGCACAAATTCAGGAGATACTCAAACCTCTAGTTCTATCACATCTGTAAACAGAAAACTGGTTTCCTGTATTCTGTGGAAAGCCACCAAGGAGCACCAGACTCCAGGCAAAAATGACAGTCCAAGAAAAGGCCAAAGTGTTCTTTAATTACATGAACTGAATTTACCTCCAGAAAGCGTGCCTGAGTAACTGGTTCACAACCAATAATTTGAGAATAAACTGAAGACAGAGGGCGTATATCTTGCTTACCATCCACCCACCTAGTTAACATATTTTAAAAAGGGATAAATCATTCAAAATAATATTTTTCTTTTCTTTTTTTGCCTCTCTCTGTTTTGAGCAATCTTCAAGTAATGGCTTAAAGTTGCTATGAGGTTACATGTCCAAAACTGTACCACTGAATTCCTTCTTTCTCTGCATAGATCTTCTCCAAATATCATTATTTTCCCAGGATAATCCAAAGATAATAAAGATGAATGGTGGTGGATACAGTTGTACAAAGTAATCTAATTTATTCACAATTGAGAAAAAACCAACTGAACAGCCAGGTTTTAAAGCAACAGTTAATAAAATGTGAACCAGTTTACTATTCTGGGATTCATATTTCAAAGAAAACAGAAATGCTTTCAATATTTCAATTCTAATCAACGGTTTACCCATCAGAGAACTCTAAATATGCATCTGGTCATCTTTAAACAATTTATAAAATCGAAGTATTTTCTAGAAAAAATGTAGCATTCAAAGCTTCCAGGAGGTAAGAATGACCAGTAACTTACCAACTTCTATGTAATTTTAGATGAACAATTTCACTGCAATTAAAAGAGTAGGCTACAATTTTTGTTTTTAACTCACAAAGCCATTAATCTTTGGTCACATGGCTTCACTGTGTTTGAAAACATGTAAATCACAGAAAAACTTCTCTGTAGTTATATTCTCATTTCCTCCCATGACTGTACAAAACACAAAGGGAGTGCTTCTCTCAGGCCTGCACTAACATGCTTTTTGTATTTTAAGACACCAGCAAAAGAATTTTTGTCAGAAAAGTGGTCTTGGGAAAGGGCATCAGATGGAAGCGCTTACTCTGTGTGGACAATTCAATGACAATTCTTCGTCATTCACCAGCAGCACCACCCACAAGGGATGCCCGAACTGACAGCACTTACTTGTTCACTAAATGTTTGTGTAGGACACCTTTCATGCTACTATTTTGTGCTGTTACCTAACGCTTATTTGTTCCTGTTTTATCTTCTCAACTCGACTTACCCACGTTAGGGAAAGAAACTGTACCTTATCTTTCTTTCTGTCTTACAGAACTCGGCACACTGCCTAACGTGTCAAAAATAACTGCAGAGCATCCTAGAAGGCTCAAGAGCTAAGTCAAATTATTATAATCTCCATTTTCAGTGTTGTCTGATAAATACGGTAATAACGGGAGAGATTTAAATTTTCGGAAAGAATATTGGCCCACTGTATCAATTTCTTTCCTACAAATATTCTCTCTCAACTCAGTCTCACGAGTTCTGAGGTGTCCCTATTCTTGAGATGCCATATATCTTGAAGTTTGTATGTAAGTTCTTGCTGCTTTGGTCAATGAAATTACAAATATATTTTTCAGTCTGAGAAAGTAACTTAGCTAAGTATTTGTTTACATAGGAGTGTACTAATTAATCAATTGTAAGACCATTCTACATATGAACAGGTATTTCACGTAGGTAAGATGCCAAAATCCCAAACAACAGAACTGCATGGCTGAAAGGGAGCTTAAAGTTAACAAGTTGAATTTTCAATTATGTGGCACACTGAGAGGTGGTTATCCAGACTGTATTTGAAAGTGAAGGAACTATTGGTTCTAGTTTTAAAAACAAATTTAGCACCTCTTCACTTAGGTATATGAAGACAGCTGCCTTAAGATCTTTTTGATAGCTTTGTTTGGTATCATCAGGAATTTTACTGCAGTCTACTGAGGATGGAAAACAAATGTGCCTCTGGTGGTACAAAGACTGCTTCAGTTCTGGGAGAACCCAAGTTCTGAGGCCACGAATACAACATACTGTATTTCCAGTGTACAGGAGGAGGCCTTCCTCTAGAAATTCTATTATACTTCCTACATTGCTATCTCAGACTAGAACAGAGGGGCATTAGGTCTACCAGCTTCACTCTCCTAATAAAGCCAAAACCTAGAATAAATGAAGTCGAGATTTTGTCCTTTAATTTCACTTCACAAGTGTGCAATAAATGCTGAAAGGCAGGGGAGAAATAAGCCAATTTAAAAGTTCCTAGCTTTGAGCTGCCCCTGTCAAGTATCACTCAAATTAATTCATCAAGATTTCTTTAAACCACTAATAATTATGAGGTCCTTCCTATAACTACGTATTTCCTAATCCTCATGCAACTTAAATGTGGCTTTCAGCTTATTGGTAAGGTTCTGTGGAACTAACTAAAAGCCTCACCAACCTCAATTACAGTACATCTCCAACATTCCAACCTGCAGGACAGAAACTAGGTGGTAGTGATCCTAATATAAAAGATATGCTAATTTCCACATTTGATAGATATGGAAAAGTCTAATATCTTAGGAGTTGATAAAAAATTATAGAGAATACTACAAAGCAGCTACAAACTTATACCAGGAAATAGCTCTATTAATATTTTTGGCTTTGACTTTACGTAAGGAAGTAGCTAATTATAAATTTCCCTAAAAAAAATGTGAGTAATCAAGAAAAAAAGTTCCACACAGATGTAAAATTGGTAAATACAGGGCAGAACCCAGAACTTGTTAAAACTTAATAGTATTACCTTTTTGGCACTTTCCGGACCTGATTCATCAAAGCGAAATCTGACAATTCTGAAATCTTTACAATAAATAATTAACTCTGTTGGATTAAATTTCAGTTTCTGGTTTGGGCCTAGGACTTTCTGCTTTCTTTTGTGGTCATTTACTAAAAAAGAAAAAAGGAGGAAAAAGATGTCAAAATCTTTCTTGTTACTCATTCTTTATAAAACTTTACACTACAGTTTTAGTGAAAAGCACTGGAAAGTCACGTATCACTTGCACACTGCTTCTCTGAAATCTTCATATTAGTCTGTAATTGTTGGAACTTCAAGGGAATGGATGTTAACTTTGTTTCTGAAGATAGTTTGAAAGTCTTTAGTAAAGCCACCAATAACTAGATATATTTAATGATTAAAATTTTAATTAAAAAGACAAAAAGCTATACATTCTATATCTCCATTTTAAAATGATCTATTGACTCCCCTCTCTTCCACTAATATTGCTGGGGACACCTCCCCTAGCAAAAGTGACAGTAAATCTATAGAAATAAAATTCCAACTTAAGTATTTGAGAGATAGGATGACTTCCATAACAAAATCAACTTTAGAGACCTTTTTTAAAAAACAAAAACAAAAACAAGGTCTCACTATATTGCCCAGGCTGTCCCCAAAGAACTCCTGGGCTCAACTTATCCTCCCATCTCAGCCACCAAAGTGGCTAGACTACAAGCAGGTATCACCTCACTCAGCTACAACTTTTAGAAAGGGTAAGTGCTAAATATTACATACCTGTGACAATTTGCTCAATACATGTTAAAGGAACATCATGTTCTCCAAGAAGAAGGTTTCTGTAATGGAATTTCTGAAATAAAACATTATGTTCACATTAATTTTCTCAATCTCAGTGACAATACAAGCCTCATTTTTAATTTGAATTTTGGGGAAAAGAACTAAGTAGTTAAAAGAAACTTATGAAATCAATAAAAAAACTTAGTATTTATATGATTATTTGCTAACTGACAACTATAGTCAGGGTTTATAAGGGAAAAAATTTAATACAGGACACATAATTTATAGGACTATTTTATAATAGTTACCCAAAGAGTCAAATGCAAAAGAATGCAGGAGATCCATCCACACACTAGAGACCCAAAGAATCCAGCTGAGGGCCTGGGTCCCACAGCAATGTCCTGTAAGAGTCCAGATGAAGATCAAGAGCCCATGGCAATATCTCATCTAAGTCTGTACCAAGGATCTGTACTGGGAAGGTCCAAAGGCCAGTGATGGAAGCTAGAAAGTCTGTGCCAGTAGGGTGAAGGATCTGTGCCAGCAGGCTGAGGAATCTGCACTGGAGCCAGGAAGCGATGCTCAAAGTAAGGAGCAGAGCTCCCCTGAAAAGAACTGTAACCATCCTCAGCAACAGCAAAGACCCAAGGTCATCCAGTGATGACAACAGCCAAGTTCATAAAAGCCAGCATGACAAGATTCTCCAGGAGGATCAACAGTGTACCACCTTCTCTGCCAGTTCTGTATTTATGCCGCTGGCAAAAATCCTCAGGGCCTTCCACCCTAAAACCATGCTGATTCAGTTCAGATAGGTGTTACAAAATGACGATTAGTTAATCCACCACAACGACTAAATTTTTCTCTTTATGACTAGGAAAAAGTATCTTTGCTTTTACAAACAAGTTAAAAGATTTGGAAGCTAAGAAATAACTCCTTCAGGCTAAATAATCAATGATCACAAAGGCTAAGCAAAACTCTCACTAATTGTATTCCTCAAGCAAGTGTCAATATTCTTAAGTTTTATTTTGAATTTTAATAGAATATATTCCAAACATTAATCATTTATTGACAAACTCATTATAGTATTTCCTTACCTGTGATTTATATAACACATGCACTGCTTAGAGTATACAAATAAAACCCACCTGTAATGGCATTGGGTCATCAGTAATAAAGGAGATTTTGAAGTTACTGCATATCAGCTTTCCCCACAAATCGTACTGGCTTGTGTCTGTTGCAATGCATTTTCTCACAAAGTTGACTTCATTTACGACAATTTCTCCTTTAAAAAAAAAAAAAAATTATGTAAGCTACAGCCATAGACTGTCAGAGTCACTAAGCAACCTAGAGAAGATTTCATGGTTTGATGATGACAATACTGACAGTAAGAAGGAACATTCACTGACTGCTCACCAGGCCCTTGGTACTGAAGTCCTCACAGCAGCAACCATAACGAGGCTCAGGTCTCCATACCCAAGTACAAAAACTAAGGCAAAAAGAGTTTTGGGGTCTGAGTTGACTCAACCAGAAAAGCCAACCCACATCTGTACTCTATGCTCTGCTATACTGCCTATCGTTATTTACTTCTTGAAAGGCATTTAGGAGAAGAAATAAACTACACCTTCTCCCTTAGAATATTATCTAGTGGAGTATTTTTGTCTTATTAAAATGTACTTCCTCTTGTAGGGATGAAAAATAGCACTCAATTTTATTTAATTTAAAGTAAGTTCCACAAAGCAAAATCAAGTTTCTTTCTGCATTCAAATTATAACTCAGTAGGCAATAAAACTTTAAAACAACGTTTGAGTTCAAAGGAAAGATAAGGGAAATGTAGAAAATGAATACAAAGTCATGATGTGCTTTTGAAAAGAATAATTCTCTATAATGTATTTAAGGCTTGGTCATTACTGGATTGTAAAGTTCAAGATCTAAAACTTAGTCACAGAAATGTCTTCAAGCCAGCAAACTCCACAGAAATGTTAGGTTATTGATCTACTTTGCCCACTTCTCTACTTACAAAAACTTTTCAGAGTGATGGATACAACCTATTTACTGTCAATCAACAAACACCTACCAACTCATGAAGATTAAAATACAGTTGCAAAGCAATTTCCTTTTTAACAAAAATGTTACAACAGATTTACATTACAAGATAACTTTTATACCAAGTTCCTAAAAACTCACAAGCCTAGTTTTAAGAAGAGCCCTTAACATTTACTTGAGGATTTAATTTGCACATGCTCGTGTCAAATTCCTGGCTCAAACACTACAGTGACTTCCGTGAGGAACACAGCCTCCTTCACGTGGCCTAAGACCCTTGTATGCCATGCTGGCCTTGGCTGTCTTCCTCCTCCTTGCTGTGCTACCAACAATGGCCTTCTCAGTCCCTCATACACAATATACTGTTTCTAGCTTTGCACTGTTCCCATTTTTGGGGATGTTCTTTCTTCCTGTTAGTCCAATCACTGTGTCAAAACACCTTAAAAATGTCTTTTAAAAAAGCTTCCTGCTTAGATTATCCCCCCCTTATCATAGCCTTATATAATTCCAATACCACAGCTATACTTTTATATGCACATGCATTTGAAGAAATACTTGCCTTTAGGATTTTATGCTCTATGGGGGTAGAAAACAGAAGCATTTTTATTAAGTGCTGGAACTTCAGCACATAGAACAGTATCTAGGATATGGTAGCTCCCTGTTAAAGTAAGTGTTGAACAAATTAAATCACCTCAGGACCTCTGGTTCATCAGATAACCACCACTAGTTGGACAGAAGCTATTCCAAACAGAACTGAAACCAGTAATTCAATATGACCAAGTAAACAAGTAGACTGGAAGATTAGGGTTGCTTGGGTAAATTTACATGATGACAGAAAAAAATCAGAGAACTACCACTGCTTGCCTGCACATGCATAAAGAGAAGGAAAACCTAGCAATGGGAGTTTCTCAACCTTTGTCCTTATTAGATTCTTTCAACAGCATGTAAGGGAAGGAAAGCAGGTGTTTTCTCTAACACAGAGATAAGGGATTTGGACCCAAAAAGACTAAATAACTTGGCTAAGATCTTAAAAACAGTAAGGAGTAAATTTGGAACTTATAATCCAACATTACCTTCCCACTATATCCATGGGTTATTGGTTTCAGGATCTCATAAGCTATCAGAATCTATAGATGTTCTAATCCCTTATAGAACATGGTATAGTATTTGTACATAACCTATATACATCCTTTAAATCATCTCTACGTGTTTTATCATACCTAATACAATCCAAATGCTATGTAAATACCAGTTTTTCTACTATATTGATTTTCTACTATATTGGGGTTTTGGCTTGCCTGGGCCACAGTGAATGAAAAAGAAAGGTCTTGGACTGAATATAAAATATACAATACAGTTAATGTATATAAGTAAAAAAGCCACCTTTTTGTATTTTACTTTTTTTCCTTTTTGTATTTTAGCTTATTAATTTTATGAAATAACAAGTCCAATTTAATAATTAAACAAGAAAATAGCACGTCCACTTAAAAATAAAGACCCATCTTCACAGGCACACACGTGTAGGAAGGATGAAACACTATCCTCTGCAGCCCTGTTTTACTCCCCAAGTTGCACAGGAATGTGACCTCTGATCCAGGCTGGTTTCGGTTGGACTGTGTGCGGGTGCAGGAGGAATGAGGACTGCACTGCACCTCCCCCTACAGAGCTGCACTGTTAACTGTGCAGTCGGCCCTGGAGCGCTGTGCAATCAAACCATGAAAAATGCTGCTGAATACCACAGACCACTAAACCTTTACAATGTCATGGGGCTGCATTACTAGCTCTCTAGAGCCAGATGAAGCTAGGCCACCTGGTTTAGAGAAGGATGACAAGAAAAGTCTGTAAAGATGAAGAACCCACAGATACTGAGGGCTGATTGTACTTGCTTCCCTATTCCTGCATAAAAGTAAACATACTGCAGTGAGACGGAGTATGTACCTGTTATGGCTTATGTTTAAATGTCTGCCCAAAGCCTCATGCAGCCATAGGTGGGGCTTTTTCAGAAGTGGGTGGGTCCAGAATATATTATGCTGGAATTGATTTATGGTACAATGCTAGGATCAAGAGCACTAGGATTAAGGATGTAGTGCTACCTGCCCTAAGATAAGATATTAGGGATATCTTAGCCTGGATAAGATATGAGGGATAGAAAGACCTCTGTTGTTATTAGGGATAGAAAAAGCTCTCAGCAATGAGAAAAGTAATAATTTGGTACCAGAGAAGTAGGGTCACCGCTGTGATTGTACCTGACCATATGGTTTAGGAGCCTTTGGAGCTGGCTTGTGGGAAGGGGAAGAGGTAGGAAATATTTGGAGATGCCAACTGAAAAAGTAGAGCTGGAATCACCGAGGGTGTACTTGATGTGAGATTCTGGTCAGAGCTCAGAAGACCAGAATGCTGATAGAAATTCTGCTGGTAGAGACCAGGCTCAGGAGGTTTCTGCTAGGAAGGACTGCACTGAATGTTATACTCCAGACAATGTGTGTTATGCCTTGGCAGAAAGTTCATCTGCATTTTGCTCCTGTCCACAGACTTTGCTTGAGACTGAGATTCAGGGCGATAGACAAATCTGCAGAAGAAATTTCAAGGCAGACTAATGTTGAGGTGGTGGCATGGCTACTGTTGGGAGCTTTTAGCCAGATTCATGTTAAGAATCAAGAGCAAAGAGCCCAGCAGAATGATTTAAAATGTTTTGAGTTTGGCCAGAAAGGAAGCTTCGGTAAAACCATGGCCTGAAGAGACAGAGGAGAGGAGACGCTGACTGCTGAGAAGGAACAGGAGAATAGAAAAGACAGCCTGAGAGCATCACAAGCAGCAGCAGTACTCTACCCTTTGCAGCCGCAAAATTATAAAAGTGAGACTTTTCTTTGAGAAGAGAGCTCTGGAGCACCAAGTTCCAGAATGACAGGGGCCTAGAGACATTATTTTTTGGGATTTGGTTTATAGGTACTGGACCCCTACAGCCAAGAGAGAAGAATGCCTGGCTACTGTTCCTGCTGGCAGCAAAACCTTGGTGTTACCAATGTAATGCTGGTTTTAGGCAGATGCAGAATGGCAGAGTTGTGGCTCAGGGAGGCTTCCACCCAGATTTTAGCAGAAGGCCTAGGAAGCCAGGCGATGTGGCCCTGAGAGGGCAGTGTGTAAAGCTGTAACTGTGAAGGCAAAGGTGCAGTAGAGAACCCAGAAGTTTGGAGAAGCCAGGAACATGGATCATCTGAGGAAAACTGCAAGAAAGGAGCACAGCTGGCCCAAGAGAGAACCTGTGGTAGCTACTACCACTGGCAGTGCCATAGGGGTGGAGCCACCCAAGCCCTGTGGAGTTCACAACTTGCCACAGATCACCTAGGATGCTAGACACCGGCTGGATTTTGGAATTGCCTTGTTCTCATTCCTTCCTATCCCCCTCTTTGTACCTTTTGGAATGGAAAAGTCTACCTTGTGGCATTGAATGTTGGAAGTGTTTAACTTTCATTTCATTTGTACAGGGGTTTGCAGCTAAGAGTTTGCTTTCTATTTCAAAGAAGGCTTTGGACTTGGAATTTTCACCAATGCTGAAACTGTTAGGACTTTTGCAACTATTAGAGATGGACTAAATGCCTTTTGTACAAAGGGATGAACATGAGTCTTTGTGGGGGTCAGGGGTGGAATGTTATGGCTTGTGTAGATGTCTCCCTGAAGCCTCATGCAGTCATAGGTGGAGCTTTTTCAGAAGTGGCCGAGTCTACAGTGTGTGATACTGGAATTGATTCATGGTGCAATGCTAGAATCAAGGGATTAGGACTAAGGGTGTGAGTATGACCCACTCTTAAGTAACCTACGTAAGATATAAGGGATAAAAAGAGTTGTGGTCATCCCTTGCTTGCTCTTGCCTGCCTACTTGCCATAGATTATTTCTCCTCTGTGATGCCTCTCCGGAACACCATCCTGCCTTGGAGTCAGCCAACTATGAATTGAAACCTCTACGAACTGTGAGCTAAATAAACCTTTCCTCCTTTAACTTTGAGTGTTGGATATTTTTTCTCAGGAATGAAAAAGAGTTAAGACAGTACCCAAACTCAATTAAAGATTCAAAGTATGAGTCTTTCCTAGATTCTAATGCAAAAAAAATTAAATATGACTGAAACATACATAAAAACTCTTGGAATAATTCAAATATATAAAATTTAAACCTTAGCTGGGCATTGTGGCACACACCTATCATTCCCAGCACTCTAGGAGCCTGAGGCAGGAGGATCCCAAGGT